GGTGCTATTTAAGAGACTGAGCTGAATACAGCTCCTCAGACTGAGGAAGTCTCTCGGATGAGAGACGAAACGTTTCTAGATTTTTTGTTGATTTGCTTTGTTTTGTTTTTTTGAATGTCCAGAGGACCAGATTTAACTTTTTTAGATTCATGTGACTTAGTTCGCTGTGGAGACCCCTGTCAAAGGGAGCAGCTGAAAGAAGAAGTAGATTTCAAAAATTCTTTAAATGAAGTGTATGTTGTTTAAAGTCATGGCTTGTGGTGTAGAAGAGTTACACTCCCAATGTGGTCTTGTTATGTATAGTGCATGTACACTGGGTTAATGTGTAGAAAAACTTACAGTGTACTTTGGCATAAGCATTACTTATGCTAAGTTGCTGTCATATAACGTTATGCGGCATAACAGTGCAGATAATGTTCATACCACTTTTTTTTAAAGTGTTCACTTTACAGGACAAATAATGGTGAGTAAATGTCAGTGAATGTCAAATGTGTGTGTTTTCCTCATTCTAAAGATTTTTGAAAATTCCAACATTATGGTCCCATGTATACTAAAACAATGCAAAATGTAAATAGGAGAAACCACATGAGATCATATTTACTTGAAATATACTGTACTGTCAATAACACTAAATACTACACCACTTATACACAGCTATAATAAAATGTATAAGAAAATAAAAAACGTCTGTTACACATAAAAATGCCCCGAGTACAGACAATAGTATGGCAGTGCAGACAGAGCATTAACATAGCCGAGGGTGAAACTGTGTTACATTATTGTTGGATCACTATTAATGTTTGTTTTTAGGCAGAATATGTGAGGTACAGTAGTCTCTCAATACTTCGCAGTCGACTTTTGTTGACTCACTGTTTCACGGGTTTTCAACATAAGATTGTACACAACACACGATTGGCTGATTGATGGAAAGTGACTAACCAGAGCATTGTGCTGAGGGGCAGACTGGTCATCGAGAGCACCGGGACATTTCCTGGTGGTCTGGCCCGCTCAGTGATCGCCAAGGGGCTGGACCAAAGGCTCGGTTCAGGTCGCGCTTGATTATTTTAAATAAACAATCCATGCCGCTCACTCAAGTATCTGCCTCACTAAAGCTCACTGAGCAATAGTGATGAGCAAAGACAGACCCTAGCCCCCACCCCTCCTTTCTCTTTCTGTGGCTGTCTGTCACAGCAGAGCAGAGACATACATGTGCTCAGGGAGCTTCAGTGAGGCAGATCTTTGGTCCAGCCCCTTGGTGATCACTGAGCAGACCAGGCCACCGGAAACTGTCCTGGAGCTCCCGATGGCCAGTACGCCCCCGGGATTGGCTCAGTAACCGTATCATCAGTCTGTTTGCTGTCTTTCGCTGTGCTCTTTTAGAGCTTTTAGAACAATATTAAGAACATTGTAAGAGTGTAGGAAGCATTTATAAAGTCTTACAACTATAAATTAATACTAAAATAAATATAATATCCCTACTTCATGGATTTTCACCTATCACGGGGGTGTCTGGAATGTAACCCTTGTGATAAGTGAGGAACTACTGTACTATAGTTTTAACAATCCACAGTTGTTTTGTTCATACTGCAACATTTTTTTTAATGACCAATAAACCAGTGGTAGCCAAGCATTGCTGAATATCATGCTTCATACTGTATACTAGAATATCAGATATGTAAAGACACAATGTTGTGTTGTCATTTTTTAACTATATATTTTGGTATGCTATTATTGAAGGCTATGAGGGTCACCATCTCTCAAAAATGCGATGAGGGTTTAAGAGTCACTAGATTTGTTGTCAGTCACCTTTTTGACAAGAAGCACTGAGACATGAACTGAGTTACAAATCTGCCAGTTTTCCAACCATGTATGTGTAGCATTATTCATTTTCACGAGAAAATGTATATGTGGCTTGACTGCAGTCAAAAACTATATTGTGTGAGATTTAAGAATCTAGCATTTTGGAAATACAGCATTCAATCTAACTCGAAGTTTAAGTAATGCAGACACATTTACCTATGCATTGTGGCTCCAGAGAAAACCAAGTTGTATAAGAAGTCCATCGGTTATATAAAGAAACCTAAATATGCATTTAAACTCCTCAGTACTTACTTTAAATCTTCTTTGTTTGTTTATTTTTGCTGTACTTTCACCAAATTCAATTTTGAATGTTTCTACATATTAATCTGTCTCTGCCTGATTTGTAAATACCAAACTCATTTAATGTTCAACCAACTTCAAAATAAACTGAGGTGCTTTTACACTTGCCTTTGAAAAAGTTTGTTCTGCACGGGCTTGAGGTTCTCTGTGGTTCCTCCTTTGGAGTGGGTGATCCTGGCATCACAGTCTAACTTCTTTGGCTTGTAGCAAAACCACTGGTCACCTGTGTAGAGGTTGGTGTAGTTGCACAGATTCTGCTGGGTTTTTGTCTTAAGGCACACATTACAGGTGGTAGTTTCAGTGACTGAGCCTGAGCGAAAGAGACTTTGGAAATAAATTCTGTCAGGATGCTCCTGGGTGAGTTTTTGCAGCACGTTGACGGCCTCGCTGGGGTGAACGAGGGTCACCTGTTTGAACAGAGATTAGGAATTTTCAGTAAAAGTCATTCAATTTGATTTTATATCTGAAATATAATCATAAGTCTAACAAAGAATGTATTTTCCATGTAATTAGGTTTGACAACAGATTAAATGCTCATACATGTATACCTCCAGTTTGCTAAATAGTGCTCCTAAGCAACAACAATATACAGTAACAGTGCCAGATCTGCATATGTATGCAGTTAGCATGACTACTGGCACTGAAACCATTTTGAGGGTAGTCTTTAAACTGGAGATCAATAAAGCAAAAAGTTCATTCCAATTCAACTGCTTTCATTTTACCTTTAAAAGCTCAACTAGGATACTCACTATGATTAGACAGTTGATTTGGAGGACTAAAAACTAAGCATGAACACATTTTGTAGAAGTTTGTTGGCATTTGAAACAGGTTTGCTTTTGTATAGTGGGCTAAGCTAACTTAAAACAAGAGTTCCACATATGACACATTGTACGTCTGTTGACAAACTATTATACAGCAATCTATACAGAAATGGCATGGACAGGCAAAAACTCTGATTTAACATTGACCTTGATTTGTGACTTGGACCTTGAAGCTAGGTTGATGAACAGTGTACTGTATATGGCACTCTGTCAAGGGATGATACATGAGTATAAAGTTTTGTTAAATTATCTTAAGTAGATCAGAAGTTATGGGTGAAAGAAAGTTTATGGACAAAATGCCATACGGAGACTATACCATAATACATTCTGCCACTGACTTGTGTACAATGACATTTTTTGGTGACTGGATAAATCTGAACCAGTGGTTAATGTCTAGATTTCGTAAACCTACTTTAACATTCTAAGTCCCTAATTCTAAGGCATTACCTCAACCTGTGCACTTCCTTCCCAGAGTAATGAGAACACAGCAGAGTAAGATCCATTGCAGTGATCCAGAACTTGTCCTGCAACACCTGCAGACAGTGTAGGGTTGTACAACCGTGCCAGTATAACATCTCCCCCAGACTTCTTGGGCTGACCATGAAAGTCACAAATGTTTATCAAAACTTCCAGTTCATCCCCTATATGCCAACTTCCCACTCTTTTCCGTGGGAGAATGGTGAAGGAACTGTGAGCCGGATCACTACTCTTATTCAGGGCAAAATTAGATGGTACAGGTGGAGTTTCAGGCCAAGCCACTACATCTTTTAGAAGGTCTACCTCAAGAGCCTCATTTGGGAATAGTGGATAGAAAGAACACTCAATGTTGGTCATCTTGGAGGCAGTAGCAACATTTGGAGTACAATCAGAGTTCACCGTTTTCTGAAAAAGAAGGTTGAGAGAGGTCAAACAGATTCTGAACCTTAATTTTACTCACACGGGTAAAGTACAAAGTATGGATAAGTAGAATGGTAAAATTGCATGTCCTGTTGGCAACCAGAGGCATGGCAAGCATTCTTTTGGTGGCAGTCAGGGTTTAGGTTTCCCAAGTTTCTATCAAGGAAATTCATTCTGTCAAGAACACCCAAAATGCTTTGCACACCTTTGTTCAAATATTGCTCTTCCAGATAGAGTTGTTATGCTTGTTTGTCAAAGTCTTGTTTTTTTTACAGTTGACGTTTAGGGAAATTTTACATAATTTATCTTGAAGCACAAGTGTTTTCATACATTAAAGACTGAAAAGGGGGAAAAAAAGTATTTGAAAATCATTTCCTTTTGACACAAATACAATAGATGCAATCTATGAAGTATTTGAAAAAAAAAACCCTCATATTGAGCAAAGTTAACACAAATTGGGTATAGCATATATATATATATATATATATATATATATATATATATATATATATACCTTTCATTATCTTTACCCGCTTATTCCATTTTGGGTCACGGGGGTCGCTGGTGCCCATGTCCAGCAATCACTGTGCGAGGGGCGGGGTACACCCTGGACATGTCACAAGTCCATCACAGGGCCACATAGAGACAAACGAGACAAACAACCATTCACTCTCTCACTCACACCTAGGGACAATTTAGAGTTATCAATCAGCCTAACATGCATGTTTTTGGTCTGTGGGAGGAAACCGGAGCACCCGGAGAAAACCCACGCATGCACGGAGAGAACTTGCAAACTCCACCCAGAAAGGCCCCTGGACCGGGGTTTGAACCAGGGACCTGCTTGCTGAGAGGCAGCAGCTCTACCAGTTGCGCCACCGTGCTGCCCATATAT